GAGACGAAACGTTTCATTAGAGAAGAACCCGTCCAGAAGACTTATACAATTTTTTTTCTTTTTAAACACTGAAGTTGACAACTATTCATTTAGCTTATATTTTATTTAAAGCCACAATAGCTGTCAAACTGCATTTTTCAAGGATTTTGATTGTAATTCCTGCATCAATAAATGGTTGTTTCAGGGTTCATGTAGCTCAAACGTATCAGTGTTTTTGTAAAATAAAATGTATTTGATAACACCAAATATTTCTCGCCTTTTCCTTACAAATACGTTCAGTGATTAGTTACAATCAAGTAAAGAATTCTCCTGTTAGAACTGGCAGCATTTCTCAGAATAAGTGATTGTTTTTCCTGCCTGTTTACATCCAGAGGTTACTTTACTGACTCAATATTTGTTGTGCTGAGACACTTCCAAGTGTTCTCGTCAATATATGACTGTAAACAAACAACTCCAAATTGTTGCCAACAAAACATGACTCTGCTGATTTTGTGCATTTATTACGAATTATATGGTAGACTTTATAGTGAATGATACTTATTTAGTGATTTTTTTTATCATAAATAAAAATATATTATCAGAAATCAAATTAAAGTAGATAAATTGCTTATTTTGACAGCTTTATGGCTTTAGGGACACATTAACAATCCAAATGTAAAACAAAGTTTGTAGGTTTTTATGATTTTTTTACCAGTCTTTATAACAAATGAAGGAGTATATTTATTGTTTACCACAGCAAACGTGCTGTGAGCTGAGCTGCTTATCTGTTGTGAACTGATCCTGACMGATTGTGTTGTGTTGCAGCTGGTGGAAACAGAAAATGTTCGGGGTGTCATCACCATGAATGAGGAGTATGAAACCAAATACTTCTGCAACTCAGCTGAGGTGAGTTTAACTTGTTCCTGTTGGAACCCCTGAGCTCAAGATTTGAACAAATATTGATGTGATGAAATCCAAAAAGAAAAAAAAGACTTGCTGGAAAACACTGAAGCGTTCTTTACACTTAGATTGATCTACATTGCTCATGGGCTGCGGTAGATCGGTGGTCAGTTTGAGCTCRGGTCAGGAATGACTCTGCTCACCATGACTCCTGCAGCTTAAAGAAAAACAATTGATCTGCAYCTCTCGCCATCAAAAGGACAAAAATCTATATATTTTACTTTTGTCTGTTTCTTTGTTGTCTCATAAATCACTGGAACCCTCTGAAAACTGAAAATTAGATTTAAATCTATTTCTGTTTACATTTTGGAATCAGCCATGGTTAAAAAGGCCTCTGCTCCACAGCTAACTGAAAACACGTTTTACAGATACAGAAAATCAGATCATTGTTTTGTGTGGTAGTAGTTGAGAGTCATCCCTAACACATATTCTGATTATGTGAGACCTTTGCTTAAATGTTTGGCATTAACCATCACTTTTAACTGTGTTAGTAAAATATCTTCTGACAAATTGGACAACTTTTTAATGAAACACTCAGAAAGTGCGGTAATATTTGGGCTGTATCCAATAAAAGATGGCAGCCTCAGCTAACTGACCTTTTGAAAAAGCAGAAATAGTTAAAACCTTGTCAGTTTTGCAAATAATGAGCTAAAGTTTTGTGCTGATATAGCTGAACRTCAGCTCCAGCCTGAGTGCTACACATTGCATGACATCTTTGAAACTAGCAGTTGAAGTCTCATGAACTCGGTGGATTTATTGAAAACAAAAACATATTTGGATTGATTATCTTTTGGAGTCAGTCCATATTGCTTTTTTTTATTTATTATTTTTTTTATTTTATCATGACATTTATTATGTCAGTCCATATTGCTAACATTAAAGGGATCCACAATTAGTTGGAAGAAGAACCTCAGCTTAGCCTGTTAGCTGTAGCATTAGCCCTGATGCTATCATCATATATTTGTATTAGCTCAGCGYTACACRTTCTCCTCTCRTCACTGAGGTCCTCCATCCACATGACAGAGAGGGGAACACAAAAATGACTCAGTCTGCAACTGAAAATATGGATGGAGGACCTCGGTTTAGCTTGTTAGTTTATCACGCTAGCACTTAGCTAATACATATAAGGCAATATAGCATCGACGCTAGCGCAAAGACTAACAGGCTAAGCTGAGGTTCTTCTTCCATGAAGC